GATGAACAAGACCCTAAACTACGAAGCCTTCCCCCTCTCCTACTTCTAACAGGAGCAATAGAAAGGTTCTCAACGATGGGGACTCTCCGAGGGTTAGGGTTTGAAGAAGACATAGTAGTACGAAGAAGAAGAAAACAAGAATTTAATATTCTAAACCTTTTGTGACAAAGACAAAGGTGAAAAGTTATATTTATAGCCAGAAGCAACCGTCGAAGGAAAAGGTGCAATGATGGAAATGTCATAATGAGAACTGACGTTTCATAATTGGTGAAGCCGTAAAAAAGCCTTAAAAGACGCTGAAAACTTGCATAACCAACCAGGAGATGCCACATGTCACGAACATTAAATGAAAGTGACTGACGAAGCGTCAGTTCTAGAGAAGAATTAATGGCGGCAAATATTCCCGCTTTAATGAGATCCACTTCCCAAATATTCTATTGATGAATAAATGGCAAGTGAGGGGACTATCTGTATTGGGAAAAGTTAAGTTCATATATGGAATTTATTGTAAAGATGACATGTCATGACATATGGACCAGTCAAAAGATGATAGTTGGCAAAGAATAATCAAAGAGGCACGAGCTTCAACAGGCACGGGCAGATATTCAGGAAAAACAAGAAAGATAGACGCTCGAACCTCTTTATGATTGAAGAGAATGAATCTGATAGTAAATATGGTATAGATATGTATTACGGGGCATTAAATACAGAAAATGTTAGGAAATCTGTATTGAATCAAATATGATTATCAATTATAACGTTACATTAAATGACATTAATTGTCAATAATGGCTCTATTATGGTAGAAACAAAACATATTACCTAGAGATAGCTATAAAATAAGAAGACTGATCATTTGTAAGGACACAAAATATTATTGAAATACATTGATTTACTTTGCATATCAGCCATCTATTTCGTATTTCGTATTCTGTATTTCATATCTCTTATATTGCTGGTATTTTATTATGCATTTTTATGGTACTAATATATCGGCTCCTGTTGCTTTTTTGAGCCGAGGGTCTCCTGGAAACAACCTTTCTACCCTTCGGGGTAGGGGTAAGGTCTGCGTACATATTACCCTCCTAGACCCCACTTGTGGGATTATACTGGGTCGTTGTTGTTGTTGTTGTTGTATTGATTTACTTTGCATTATATTCAGTTATTATTTGTCAATTAATCTTATTTCTATTCGATTATCAGTAACCCGAGTTCTTCTAAAATAAACTTTGACCGAAATCCCAATTTTTTATTAAACAACAAGACTCTAAGCAAATTTCACCGCGGCAAAACACGAGCAAGATACTAGGTATATGATAAAATAAAACTTAAATCCCATTTACGTGTTTTAAAGTCGCGGTTCCCTAAGCCCAAAGTGAATAACATCACTTGTAGGTTGAGTTGCCTGTTATGTATAAGGGATTTTTACATTCGTATGCCATATTGTAAACTATATTACCCTTCATGCTTAACTTTTAATATAATTACCTTTTATATACCTAATTACCATTTATGTACATTTTAGGGGTTTTAATGGTATTAATTAGTCTCCTAATTTAACTCTATCGTATATTCCCACTCCCCCCAAGTTTCTCTCTCCAATCCCACCCCCTCACCCACATATCAAACCACACCCCACGATTTCCTCTTCAATCACCCACTATTTCCTCTTCTAAAACCAGCAAAAATATGTAACCCCTCCACCATTGACAACCATTAAAAAACTTTGAAGTTTTGAATTCGAATTTGGGTTTTCAAAGACATTGTTTGTTTGGATTGGATATTGTTGCAAAGAATTGAGAATTCCCTCTACGTCTCTCTCTATCTCTCAATCCCAAATTTCAGTAATATAAAGCAAAGGAAAAGAGAGCAGTAATTCACCATTGACAACCATTAAAAAGCTTTGAAATCGAATTTGGGTTTTCAAAAATTATTATTTGTTACGATTGGGTGTTGTTGCAAATAATAGGGAATATGATTTGGAGTTTATATCTCAATTTTGAGGGGTTTTGGTGAAGATTAGACTTGGTTTTGGCTGAATTTCAGATAGAAAGAAGAAGAAGAAGAAGAAGAAGAAGAAGAAGAAGAAGAAGAAGAAGAAGAAGAAGAAGAAGAAGAAGAAGAAGAAGAAGACATGACATACATTATATTGCAGAAATTATAGAAAAATTGTATTCTGTTGTTTATTTATTTTTCTTTTATTCATTTAACTATTGTATGAAAGTTGAACAACATTGTGTAAAAATTGTATTTAAGTGGTATTATATTGTAGTTGTATATAACTGAGTAGAAATAATGTATGAAAATTATATATAAGTTGTAGATAAATTGTATAATATATAATTAGTTGTATGAAATTTATTTTTTTTATGTATAAATTAGATACAAAAGACATATTGTATAAAATTTGTATTTAAGTTGTATGTTATTGTAGTTGTATTTAAATAGGTAAAAATAATATGTGAAAGTTGTAGATAAGTTGTATAATATATAATAAGTTGTATGAAATTTATTTTTACTATGTATAAATTAGATACAAAATATATACGCAACACAGCTCTACTGAAAATATTTCAGGAACTAGTCCTTCTAGTAATTCCTCACTGGATTATAATCATTATTTCCAACGCCCTAGCCCCTCTCCAAATTTCCGCCCAAACACTCTACTGGTCTCCGCCTTTGGCTTATCAAGCAGTGGGATTCACAGTGAGAAGCGGCACAAAGCAATGGAAGATTTGTCATTGCGGGAAATTCCTTCTGGCAACCTAAAGCAGCTGCTTATAGCATGTACCAGAGCTCTTGCCGAGAACAAATTAGATGATTTTGGATCACTGATTGCACCAGTAGTCTAAAATTTGTTTTTACTATGAACTTTCTTTCATTCAATTTGGGAACATCAGAAAATTAGAGAAGGAAAGATCCATCGAATTGTGACATATAAGTAGAAACATAAGGAAAGAGAAGAGGAGTAAAAAAAGGAAAATGGTGTAACTAAATTCCTTAATTGAAGGCACTAATAATGGATTGGGAGCCTTTTAAGGTGGAATGTATATATTTTGTAAACAAAATTTGTGTAGGTAGGGTAATTTACTAAACATGAACATTTAGGGTAATATAGTTTATTTATGGCATAGGAATGCAAAAATCCCTATGTATAATACTAGAGGAATGCACTTTGCATGGCACACATAACCTTGGGCAATACTTGGTTGGCAAATCTTAGCGTTCAGTTGAGTTTAGACAAATCCTATGTATATATGGAAGAAAGCACTAGATATTACTAATAAATTTTAACGATGTGATTGCCCAAACCAAAGTGTATGATATTATTAGTGATCTGGGCTATTACTAGTGATTACCTATATTGGTGTTTAACTCAACACCTAATTGTATTAGGGATTTAAAAGCACGGGTGGCTCAACACCTAGACGCTCATAGGGATATATTTATCCGGATAAAGGATAGTCTGCCGATTCAATCCTGCCATTAGAGAAGAACATTGAATTGCTGAAACTAGATCTGACGATAGGAGCCAAGTCTATAGGATACAAAATTAAATTAGTTTGTAGTGAAGTTCAACATTATCTCGTCAAAAGTCACTGTCAAACTATCTTCAATCTCTTTCAGCTAGCACACAGTTCAACTAAAACAGGCTAAAAACTTGGCAATGTTTGATTGTTCTGGGGCATACTATCTTTATTGGTTTCAAAAATGTGGTTCACATTATTTCACAAGGCTGGAGAAATACTTCATGACATGCATGATTGGACCAATGAACAAATGCTTATCTATAGGCCCATGATCCTATTTATTATAAATGTCCAACTGCAAACTAGAACATTAAAATGACTATGGTCCCTCCCACATTCATAAGTCAAAATTTCTTTTGATATAATAGTTGTTTACAATGGTTGTAACAGGCAAACACCAATATAACTTACTAAAACTCGTGATCCTTTATAAAAATTAAGACTCACACGACCCCGGCCGATTCTTTTCTTTACTAAAAACGCTCTTTTCTGAGCGAAGCCTACCGATGTACTCGGTCGAAAATATCGACCGATCAGAAAAATGACCGACTCAGTCGGATTTTTATTTAAAATAAATTAAAGTTATATTCAGAAAATCGACCGACTTGGTCAAATCTTCGGTCAATTCATTTAAAAAACCGACTGACATGGTCGGTAATTTAATTTATTTTTAAAGAAAACCAACCGACTCAATCCATTATTTTCGTGCAAAATGCGGTTGAAGAGCATAAATAAAAAATGTAAGTCTTAGATCAACAAATACTAGTGGTCTAGTAGCAGAATAGTCCCTTGTAATGGTACAACCCTCGGTTCAATTCGCAGATAATGTATTTTATAATTGCATAATTTGATCGGTTTTATAATATAATATTGACTGATAAGGTCAATCTTTTAGAAAATTTTAGATCGAACGTCAGAAAATATCGGTATAATTAAAACTCAGTACGCCGACTGTATCGATCTATTTTTATACCGATCAACTTTCTTTCAACCCACCAAACTTAGTCGATTTTTTGTCGGTAATCCTTTAAAACGACCAGTTGTTAGGTCAATTTCGCTAGGAAATGGCCCTATCTTTAATAGTGTTTGTTAATTTTTTTGATAATAACAGGGGCGGAATTAGCGAAAAGAGTATGAGTTTAGTAGAATCCAGTAACTTTGGTCCAAATCCTATATAATTGTTGATAATTCCACTGAGTACATTAGTATATATAATAAACTTCAGATCCCATAAATTTCAAATCCTAGATCCATTTCTACCCAATAAACTAAACTTCAGAAGCCATAGATTTCAAATCCTGGATCCATTTCTGCCCAATAAACCATACTAGAACTTGTGATTTAATTATATAAACTAAAATGTTTCTGGTTTAAACTGAGGTGATTATACTCAGAAAACTTGAGGGGTCTGGTTGATAAAAGATACAAGGGAATAAATAGTCAAATGAAAAGAAAATTAATAAACAAGTGTTATAAGCTCTAAGGCATTTATCTTGTTCTTTCTCTACAATCCATTCTTGACATATCAACACTAAAAACAAATGTAGAAAAATAGAAATAAGCTTCACAAGATTAGGCTAAGATTAAAGATGAGTATTGAGAATGTCACCACCTTTCTTCCCACAAACCAATCAAACAGAAATTTTCCAAAAAAAAAAAAAAAAAATACATGCAAAAATATTTTAAGCTTATTTTTGGACATATAATGTTAATGAATTACACCACTTACATTCTTGGCTTGACCTTAGCTCTTAAAGGATTTTTCATCACCACAGTAAATTTTAATTTCTCAGTAAAATCCACTTTGCTATTTGCCGGGTAAGCGGACCATTCAAACTCTTGAACCATTCGGGCCAACATCAAATTTATATGCACCGTTCCCAGACCCAAACCCGGGCAAATCCTCCGCCCGACCCCGAATGGCATCATCTTCACCCCGGTCACACCCGTAATATCAGCATCCTCCCGCCCGGATAGAAACCTATCCGGGTCAAACTTTTCAGGGTCGGACCAAACTTTCGGGTCATGCGAGATCCCGGGTACAAAAAACTCCACATTAGCATCTGTGGGTATGTCATACCCACCCAATGTTGTTGGCTCCGTTACTGCATGGGTAAATGTAACGTACGTAGGAGGATGTTTACGTAAAAGCTCCTTTACGACGGCGTTTAAATAAGGCATCTTATCCATATCCTTTTCGTCAACCTTTCTGTCACCCACTGTATTTCTAATCTCTTCGTATATTCTATTCTGTATGCTTGGATTTTCGATCATTCTCCCTATGGCCCACTCTATTGCAGTAGCGGTTGTGTCGGTCCCACCGTTCAAGAACTCTGAACATAGTGTTACAAGCTCCGGATTTGTTGGTCCTGACTTTTTACCTGTCGAAAATATAATTAAGTAAACATAACCATATTCTCTGGAACAATTCAAACTTTTAGTTAAAGTGATCATGTAATTCAACATTACCTTCGATCTTAACGTCAAATAAAGTGTCTAGGTACGAAAACGAGGCAGCTGTCTTGTCGGACCCTGGATTTCGTATAGCTCTTCGACGTTTCTCGATCAAAGGGACAAGTGTTTCTATTTGTCGCTTGCGAACTTCGCGAACTCTCTTACGTTGTTTATAACCAACAAACAAGCTCAGTATAGGAAGAAAATCATCTATTCTTGGATGAAGCTCCATCAGCACATCCTTCATCATTTCATCAACGGTTTCAATCATTTTTTCATCCATTTCAACACCAAAACACATAACCAAAAGTATATAAAACACCGCGAAACGCGCGTTTTTCAGCACCCAAACGACGTCGTTATTGGCCTTAGCATCTGCATGTATCCTTTCAATCAACTTATCCATTGCCATTTCTCTACATTCACGAAACTCTTTCACTCTACTCGAACTAAGCATATTTTGGACCATATTTTTTCTAAGGGATCGCCAAAGTGGCCCGTAAATTGCTGCATTGACACTGAATTTGTTGCAACTGAAAATGGTTCGGGTCGGGGTTTCACTCGGGCGGGTAGCGAAAATTTGACCCTTTTCAATTAAAGCTTCGTAAGCCAAGTCAGCACTGCTAACAACAATCATAGTACGAGTACCCATTTTGAGTGTGAAAATGGAGCCATATTTAGGTTTGAGCTCTCTTACATATTCGAAAAATTGCTTACCAGAACTAGCTATTTGAAAAAGGTTACCGACTACCGGCCAACCCGGTGGTCCTGGAGGAAGATTGTATTTGGTTTTTCGTGTGAATAATAAGATGAAAGCTGAGACAAGAATGGCCAAAGCTGTGACTATGCAGTTCATAGTTGTGAATAATATCCCTCTAGGTATTATTTGTAACACCTTCTATAATAAAAAGGAAATGAATGCTCTCTAACACAAGAACAAGGATATGGAAAGCCTTTTATAAGGAAAATGGTAAGGTACTTTTTTCTGATTGTAAAAAAGGCAATAAAACCTTTAAGGCTGCTTGGCTGGCAATAATTGCCTTCAAGACGGCTTAATAAATACTCTTCCAGCACTAAATTTAAAAAAAAAAATAAGACTTTTGAATTTGTGATCTCAAGTAACTTTTATATATTTATGTGATAATAAATCATCTTATTAATAGTAAAATAAAAAAATTAAAAGTTAAATTATTTTAAAATATAAAAAATAATATTTTTTTTATTACATATTTAAAAGGAAAGAATCCCCATAATTTGAGACTGATTAGTGTGAAGTGATGTGCATAGTTAGAACTTTGGATCATTTAGACAAGAGGAGTCGGCAAGAATCCAACTATCCAACTACTTTACCAGTAGTCATTAAAATTCAACTGTAAGTTGGTTTTTGGAACAATTGGTAAAGAAAACATATACTCCTATTTATTAAACTCATGAAATAGACATCTATTGAAGGCTTTCCCTGTATAGCGTTGTAATAGTAACAATGCATTTTCAAACTTAATTTTAGTCTATAATATAATTATGGTAAAAATTTAATTGCGTTCAAAATTTACACCAAATAAATAAATGCATGCAGGGCAATGTTTGCTTCATCTACACATTTATCACTTAACTAGTTAATTTACCCGCGCTTCACGCGGTCTTACAAAGATAAAATATGAACGAAAATTTATTGTTACATTTTTTATATTTAAAAAAAACCTTTACTCTTTGTTCAATTTTACCTTCTTTGTATTCTTCAACCATAAACCATAATTGTGCTCTAATTATATTTTCAAGGTTGATTGCTTCTTTCTACGATCTTTAAGACTCGCTCAGGATTCTCTTTCTCTATTTTTTTTTATACACACGGAAGAGTATACTTAGCTCCTTTGCAAGAACTTCATCGAGCTAATTTGAAGGTTTAAATTGTATCGCTAAATCTTCGTTTATCAATGAAAATAAAAATTAAATAATAATAATTAAGGCAATATACTTGAATGAACATTAACTATTGATGTTTTTTTTTATACACACGGAAGAGTATACTTAGCTCCTTTGCAAGAACTTCATCGAGCTAATTTGAAGGTTTAAATTGCATCGCTAAATCTTCGTTTATCAATGAAAATAAAAATTAAATAATAATAATTAAGGCAATATACTTGAATGAACATTAACTATTGATGTTTTTTTTTATACACACGGAAGAGTATACTTAGCTCCTTTGCAAGAACTTCATCGAGCTAATTTGAAGGTTTAAATTGCATCGCTAAATCTTCGTTTATCAATGAAAATAAAAATTAAATAATAATAATTAAGGCAATATACTTGAATGAACATTAACTATTGATGTTCATTAAGTATGCCATATTTTGATGATATCCTACGTCATGCCACAAACTGATATCATTACTTTTAAATAATTAAATTTTAAAAATAAAGTATCTGCAAAAGAAATTACATATATTGAAATTTTACAATTCAACAGAACAAATAATTCTTCTGTACTATTATATGATATAATAAGAGTAATAAATACATTTGTTTTTGTATTCCTATAATATCTTTGCATTACCCCTCATTTTCATTATTTTTCTCTATTTCTGTATTTGGAATAGTATTGAATTTCCAAAATACGATATCTAAGGAAAAAGAGAAAATATAACATATAAAAACACTTAATAAAAATTAGAAAATTGCTTCTATAATATTTAATCAAAGTTCAACTAAACTTTAGTTTTAATTGTATTGTTAAAATTTTATTATTTTACGATATTATATTAATACAAAGAATACGAAATATGATCGATACCAAACAATCAAGGTAAAAATACACATAAACACATTATTTCTAAAAAATAAATGACAAAATAAAGACAAAGAAGAAGAAGGAAAAGGAGAAGCAACAGAAAGAGGAGGAAGAGGAGGAGGAGAAGAAGTTATTAATTCCCTCTCCATTCTATTTAAATCATCTTATATCTATCCTTAATCAAACCTATTCATTTTTGGAAAATTTAAAACAAATAATAGCAATATTACACAGAAAGAACAAAAATAAAATTTTCAACCACATCATATAACGACGTAGATTTTGGGGGTGTAACAATAAGACGTACAATACATTTTCATTCATAAACAAAAACATCCTAACACTTAGCACACCAAGAGGAACCTACTAATACATATATATAATATTTCTGTAAATCTAGATGTCATACATATATGTAATTTATAAGTTGTAACAAAAAATGGTTTCATGTATATGCACAAAACAGAATCTGTGAGCACAACTTTATAATAAGAAAGCGAGAGAATATAATAGATTCCTATTGTTTTTCGATTATCGTCTCTGCAGTACCATTCTTAAACTCCTCGTATCAGACATAGATAAGTTCCAACCATTTGTTACTTAAAAATTTAATTTGCTTAACACAAAGAATTAACAGTTTTTTTAAAAAAGACACACTCCCTTCCACGGTACGTCCAAGTATTATTCTCAAAAGAAACGTCGGTAAAATGAGCCAAATTTAAACTTTGAAGGATGGTAAAAGCAGCAAAAGTTAATCTAAAACTAAAATAAGAATTACTTGGAAACGGTTAAGAAGGTGCATAATCAAGTTATCTAGATTGCTTGAAAAATCAAAAAACCAGAACCCTGTCACTTTTTTTGTTCTCTGGTATTAATTCTTTTTTATATACCTTTGAGGATAAGATATGCTATATAATGAGAAACCAAAAGTTCTAATTGATTGATCCTAATAATTTACTAACAACAATTACAACTTTTATTACCCTCTCTTATTTGACAATAAATAAGTAAAAACTAAAAATATATCAAATAATTGGTAGATAAAGGAAAACGCATAATTTATATTCCAATAAACAAAGTCATTTTGCATAAACAGACACTTGAATATAATTCCAAGAAATATCACAGAAAGATGAGGCCTCCAACCATTTGACAAATTAAATTATGTCAGCATTGTTAAAATTCACAACCCATATATCTACAATATTTTTCCAGTGTAAAGATAAACTTGCCGAGCTCTCCTCTTCTTGAAATTTAAGATCGTGACCACCACCATGTATATAAAGTAGAAAAGATTATCTCCAAATATTATTTAATAGGGAATATATAACAAAGAAAGGAATATTGGTAAGAATATTGTAGTTAGAATATAAGGATCATTAGATTTCGCTCTGTGTGCCTCTTTGTCGTACACTCGTACTTCTTAAAAAGCCTTGCCTTTGAAGCATACATCGTCATTGGCTCTCCAATATTAATCAGCACAAATACTTCAAAGCTTGGAATAATCTTAAACCAACTGATTTTGTTTGATCAGAATCGAGGCAAAAGGACAACCTATATAATCAGTGTGATTTTCAGTTACAAGTTAATTAGTTAATTATTCTTTTTTATATTCCGTAACTGAAATCCTCTTATAATTGAGCATTAATTACATTTTTATATATTCCATAACTGAAATCTTTCAATAAACCTCATTTGTTTTCCTTTAGTTCACTTCCGTGGGTAGTAAATGAGTTCTTTGTAT